GACCGCGGCTCGTGGTACCTCTCGTGAGGCGTGGGCAGTAGGCTGCTAAGTGAGGGCCAAAATGGGAAATTCCAATTTAAGTAGGAATAAGGTGAGGTCATTTTTTATGGTCCTAGTACACCTATATAAGCTATTTTAACCCTTTAAACTCACCAATCCAGTTATTATTTCCAAAACCCCCCAACGAATCCCAAAGTGCATCCTCTCAAATATTTCTCTCTAGATAGTTGAAGAAGAAGAGGGTTCAAAGCTAGGTCAAGTCAAGTCTCCATTCTACCAAGATTGGTAGGCTTTGTAATCAAGGTATGATGGCTTATTCATCCATGAAATCCTTTCATCCATGGAGCCCCTATGTTTTCCCCAATTGTGAAGATGAATCCACAATTCTAGTTAGGGTTTCTTCTAATATTGTGGGTGTTGTTGTATGTTGATCCAATTGAGTGGATAATGATGGTTTATGATTGAATTATTAGTATATCATGTTTTAAGATGAAATTACATGTTTACATGCCTAACCCATATCTAGAGAGATGAAATTGAAGTAGGTGGGTTTTATGCCTTGAAAATGGAAATTTTGGATTTAGAGATAATCTTCTAGAATTGAATAAATACATTGAAGATTGATGAGTCCACGATTTAGATTCTTTTAGGGCTTTATTTTGATAGATTTAGTGTCCTCAAATGCATAATTTGTCTCAATAACTCATGAAAATCCTTGAGTTTCAGGTATTTGGAGTTAGAGACTAAGCATGGACACTGTTGGGCAGAAAGGAACAAGGTAGCTGAAAAGAACGAAGAAAATATGGCTTGAGGATCACCTAAACCATTAGGCGAGTCGCTGCATGGCTATGGTCTCGCCTAATGTTCCAGTGTGCCAAGCTCTGAGGGAGAAAATCGAGTCGATGAGATAAAGGAGCAGTCGATGATTCGCCGAACGATTCTGCGATGTAGTACTCCATCGCCCAACGTTACAGAACTTGAATTTGCTGAAGGCCAATGCAGTAAGGCGTTGAACTAGACCAAAGGGTGTCCTGCCGAGTGGATCAGCGAGCCCGACTAACTGCGCCGAGTGGCCTTCGCAGCACACATTTTGACAACTATAAATACTAGTTTAAACTTTTAGTTTAGTATGCAATCAGTATCAAATTTTAGAATATCGAACATTATTTTCAGTTTTTAGAACTTAGAGTTTTGGAGACTTTGTTCCTTAGCTTTGAAGATTTGAAAATTTCCATTTCTAAGCAATTTAAAGTGGGTATTGAAGATTGTTCATCTTAGATGAGTGTAAAGACAATATCTATCATACCCATTTGATGGAAACAGTTTTCGGTATTGACTTCTATCTCTTTACTATGTCTAGCTAAAACCCCAATTCTTGGGGTGTGATTATGTAAATATGGGTTGAATTAACTACTGGGTATTGCTAATTTATAGTTAATTTGCTGTTTAAAGGTGATTTCATTCAGTAGTTGCATTTGAATTTAATGGGGTTGTAGTTGCAAATACAATTTTATCTTCATGTTTTTGACTTGCTCGAGAGAGAGGTTTTAAAACCAAAACTACTGAATTGATAGTCTGTGGTTATTGGGTTGTCATGGGTTCAGCTCGAGAGAGTGAATCCTAAAGCCTCTCTCACATATTCAGCTCGAGAGAGTGAATGGACTAAGGCTAAGGTTGTGCTTCATTGCCTCTTATTGTTGTTCGAGAGAAATCGATTTGATTCGGGGTAAATTATTCGAGAGAATTTACCCTCACTAAAGTCTAGCTTAGTTACCAATTTACAACGATTTACTATCAATAGCATTTACCCGATTGTTTATTTTAGCCCATAATCCTATCATATCCCAAGAATCCCGTCTCCATATTTGTACTTTCATTTTTAGTTGTCGTTTTAGTTGCTTATTGACTACAAAACCCCCTTCGATAATTGACACTTGTGTCACCCTTTAATTTGATATGTTTTCTTCGTATAAGTCTTTAGCTATAATTGACTTGAGTGAAGTTCTTGCTTTTCTCTTAATTATCGATTACAAACCGCTCCCTTGCGACTCGATCCCAACTCACTAGTTGGGTTATGTTACTATTGAACGACCGTGGACGCTTGGAGCAAAATGTTTGAGCGTAGAGGAGTTGGAACAAATAGAAGCTCAAATACCAATAACATTGTGCAAGTTAGAAAAGGTGTTCCCTCCTGCATTTTTTGATGTCATGGTGCACTTGTCTATTCATCTACCTGATGAAGCTAAGATTGCCGGACCAATTCAATATCGATGGATGTATCCAATAGAGAGATACCTACACTTTTTGAAGTGTTTTATTGGTAATATGGCTCACCCTGAAGGTTCGATTGTAGAGGGATATTTAGCAGTTGAATGTATGATGTAATTGAATCTGAGGGTGGTTTGACAATATATTGTGAACCTGGAAAAAGTTTAAAGGGTAGCACACCTGACAAACTTGATTCAAACGATATGGAGGACGCACATTTTTATATTTTGAAGAACTGTGATGAAATTCAACCATTTCTCGAGTAAGTATTGATTTAACCTAATAATTTATTTATACCTTGTCTATATGTTTAATTTAAAATAACATGTAAAACTTCAATTCTTTGTTAGAGAATTTTCACAAATTTATAGTGAGACCTCTCAACAAAGTTCAGATGTGGAGTGGAATAGAAAATTCATTAGTTGGTTACAAAAAAAGGTTAGTAGAAATTAATCAGTTTTCTTAAATCAAGTATGCAATTAAATATTATTTTCTAAAAAGCTATTTGATGTTGTTAGGTTGCAGGATTATACAAACATGATGATAGTAAGAGAATGGAAGATTTGCTATCTTTATCACGTGGCCCTATGCCATATGTCACAAGATTCAAAGGCCATATTGTTAATGGATATAGGTTTCATGTGAAAGAGTATGATCAATATTTGAAAACTCAAAATTGTGGAGTGGTTGTAGTAGGTGAGACCGGTGAAGAACAAAACCATATGAATTACT